GTTCTGTGACTTAGACAATCTTCACATGGTCTTTCTCTCTCTCTTGCTCACTCTCGCTCTCTCTCTCTCTCTCTCTTTCTGTGTATGTGTGTGTTTATCCTGGTCTTGTAATAAAACAGCTATTTCTAAATGAGATAATATCCACAGTCACATAAGCCAGAAATTCAGTGCATAGTTTATGAGAGCACAGTTTAATCCATGTTCTCTTTATTAATGTAGCTTCCCTATGATACATTTCACCATATACATTTTATATGGATGACCCCCACAGCCAGTTATAAACAGCCAGTTATAAAATCTCAATAGTTCTTAAAGCTACAATTGTGAAATAGTAATGATTGATGCTTTTAAAGAGACTCTAAATTTCAGTTTTGGAACAGCCATGATGGTGATATTTCTAATGTCTCTACGTGAGTCAGCAATATGAATCTGTATGGCGATACCTCTGCTTCCTACATTTCGTTTTCTGGAAAATACGTTGGCGCCTACGACAGCATAGTGAGGCTTGACTGTCGACCTACTTTTAAATAGTGAGGCATCATAGTGGCTGTAGGTACACAAAAATGAGAATTCGATTGTTGTAAATAACAGAAACATGCCAATTATCTAAGAAAAACTGTGATAAGGAAGAGAAATCCCCCAATTTTGGGGAAATTTACCTAAATCCATACCTGTTAAGTAGAACTTTCACACTTTGGCCGTTCCTCCAGTAAAGGTCTTACAGACAGACTTCGCTGGGTTAGTGTGTCAGTGTTAAAATATCAGGCTCAGAAGTGATCACAGTACCTCTCTCATCTCAATGAAAAGATGATGCAGAAAAACCTCAATCCATGAAGAATGACCCTGACATAGATATGCCTCAGACACGTCTATTTGACAGCTCTGTATCCTTATCTCTGGACTCTGAATGTATACAGTAAGCCCCACCTTATGAACTTCCACTTAGAGATAACTTCAGGTCCATTCTCATTCATAGTGGCCCTATAGAAAGTTCCAAGACTGTAAATCTTCATGGGAGCAGATAGCCCCACTTTGTCTTCCTGGAGTGGTTGGTAGGTTTGAACCACAAATCCTGTAGTTAGCAATCCAAAGCTTACCTGACAGAGCCACCAGGACTACTTACAGACAATTTGTACTTTCCCTTTAGTGTTATTGAACCCACATCTATTGAGAGAAATTCTTCATCAGAATCATCTTCATTGGCTGCATATGCCTCTTTTAAAGATGAACAGATTAAGTCTTTTCTTGCACTAAAACAAAAGAAAACCCACTGCCATTGAGTCCAGGCCAACTCCTAGTGACCCAACTGGACAGGGTAGAACTGCTCCCGTGAGTTATGGAGTTTGTAATTCTTTACACGAGTAGAAAGCCCTGCATTTCTCCCTTCTTGCATTAAAGGAAAGCTAAATAACACTCTTTAGAAATTGTTATGGCTTACCTACAATTTCAACTTAAAAACATATTTACTATCAGATCATCTTCACAATTCAGAGATTTCCTGTGTATGTATATTTTCATATATTACTTCAAAGCTTACCACCTACAATCTCTATTTTATGATTTCCTATTAGTTCATGGTCTTAATTATTGCTATCAAAATCTCTTTAAATCCTAATCCACCAAAATAAATTATTGCAATGTTAATTTGGCTTCCAGCTCTTCTATGAATTCTTTTTCCACCCAATCAATTGTAAGTTAGGCTTAATAACCATAATTAGGTGCATATTATTCGTGATTGACCTTTATTTAACCTTGATAATTCTTATAAGCAGATGTTCCATCTGCTATCGTTTCCCTTTATTCAGCATGCGTTAATAGTTCTTGTCCACTTGGATAGCAATGCAAGAATGTTGGCAACACTTTGATTAAATTTAAAGTAGTCTTTGTCTGGACTAGAGCGCTTTTGCTGCTCTTGCTGCCTCATTTTTCAGTTTTGTCAAGATTTTTAAAAAAATCAAAACTGAGACAGCTATATGTGTGCAATGTGTATCATTACATCTCTATCTGTATACCTACCTAAAGTGTGTATAAAGGTAGGTGATGATAGGTTGATAGATAAAGAAAGAGATACATGTCTTATCCTGTTCGTTTTAGCCCAAAGTTTTGCTGTTGAAGTCTGCAGTGAGTGTAGTTGGGCACAGCACATTTTGTTCTGTTCCTGTGAGATGCACACTCACAGTTGTCAAGAGCTCATTATTCTGCAGTGCTAAGACTTTGCAGGTGGACAGCGGTGCACTTCCTGAATCTTCTTTCCTTTTCGAGGAAGAAAAACCTTCAACTAAAAAAATACATAAATAAAAAAGAACATTTTTATTTTTCTTAGTTTGAGAACATTTTATTTAAGAACTTAAAATGGACTGGCAGCACAGTTTGGGTTCTCCATGTTACTAACCATGTTGTCAATGACCATTGCATTTCCAATAATGATGCTGAGAAAAAACAACCTGCCAGATAAATATAGGAAAGTTTACATCAAGCCCAAGCCATTAAAGAGAATCTCTATCTACCATTACCTCTTATAGCTTGCCACATATTTTGTGTGTGTGTTTCCTAGTACTCAAAGATCAGTGTCTTGCAACAAAGAGTGGCTACCATTGAACCTTGGTTCCTATACTTCCCTCTGACTGGAGAATCGTTGCAGATAGAGAACTTACATTCTCCGTGATGCAATATTGCACAACTTACAGGTTCCTTTCTTTCAAGTTCAGGTTTTCCTGGAAACTCCATAATGGTTATGCTATTCCCATGATGCATGTTTTTCTCTTTTTCTTGCTCTATTCAGAATAGCCAGTTGTTCTGTATAGCTAGTTAGGCATAAACATATATCTAAGGCTAACTTATATTAGAGCATGTTAGAGGTGCTCTATGGCTTCAGGAGTCTGTGCAGCCAGAGAGTGGGACTTACCGAACAGAAGCCTTTCCATTCTTAGTGAGCTTGAGTTCAAGCACCTTGATGGTGATGTAGTAAGTATTAATATATATTAATTCCCTTTCCATATGCATGGTAGGTTTTTAAACAAATCCCTTTCTTTCTGTGTACAACTCTTTACTTATTCCTGACTTTTATTATCTATATTACCTGGGATATTTACTAACAAAATTAATTTCTATTGGATTCATTTATCAATGCATAATATAGAAATAATCAATTTACCAATGATATTATCTCAAGGAAATGTAGTTGTAGGATATTGGTTCATGGCTATCATAAACACATTAAATGAGATAGAATTTTAATTTTCAAAGTTGAGGGAATTGATTTGAGTAAAATAACACCTAAATGTAAGTATCTGATAATTCATTCACCTTTTTTTCATTGTGAAAAGTAATTAACTCAAAGGTGTTGTGACAGGTTGGGAAGATGACTTGGAAATGGACTTATTGTGCAGGATGCTGACTGGGAAACATACTCTGGGAATCCATACAGGTGGACAATGGTGGGAGGAAGAACGGTTGATCAGAGATAAAATTCGAGCACCATCCAGTTTTAATGCCACCTTGCTTGATCTCACAGACATTTCTGGATCTATGCTGGTCCTTCCAAAGAGTATGGGTTGAGCAGAATTAGACCAGCTTTAATACTTACTCTTGCAGCAATTGAGTCATTGATTTGGAGTCACATGTAGGAAAGTGACCTTTGCCCATGTAGTATCTGCAAATGAGGTAACAAGCCATCCATTGAGAGTCTCTAAGCCCCACTTACAAGTGCATCTGCCTGGGTCCCTTTGCACAGTCATTCTGCACACAATAATAGTTGAGATCGTATGTGTGCCTGATGGCTCATTGCTGACTGGAAGTGAGTTATTGGAGGCAGTGAGGCATTTGATGATTTTGATCAGGGTTCTAGACTATGATGGAGTTGAAACCTAACCATTCCCCAGCTTTGAGAACTTGAGTCACTTGTCCTTTGAGACTCAAGCTATTTCTTGTTAAATGAATGCTTATAATAAAAGCTATTTTTCCTATCAAGTAAGGGAGAAGAAATTTGGGTGTTGTAATCATTAAGCTAGGCTGATAACCTAGCTCAAAATCACCAGCTACTCTGAAGGTGAAGGAGAAAAATGAGGTAGTGTGCCTCTTTAAAGAGGAAGATCCTTGGAAAGCCATCATGGACAGTTTCACTTTATTTTGCCAAGTAGCTGTGAATCAAAACCAACTGAAAAGGGTGAAGGTCCATAAATTAAGGGACTTAATATCATCACCCTCCAAAGGTTGTTGGGATCTAACAAAATAACTGGTGCAGGCATTTCATATAGTATAGTGTCCCGGTGGTACCGTCTGGTAAGGATTGCACTACTTACTGCAAAGTTGGAAATTCAGATCCACAAGCTACTCTTAGGAAGAAAGATAAGGATACAGATGGCAGTGGGTTGGGGTTTTATGGGGAGCTTTTGATTGCAATTCAAAGTCTACACAGATAATTAGAGATATTATTCCACACAGACTTCTCCATTGAGTGTTCACTTTAGGAAGAGTGTCCCAAATCAGAGGCACACCTAAAGGAGATGATTGGTCGATCTGCTGTCTCTGTAGATACATAATGCCTTTGACAGTGGTTCGGACACGTTGCTTGTACATCATCAGCACCTGGATATCTGGATAGTTTGCTGAAAATCCATCTTGTACATTCTGAATGATCAGGTTTGGGATCAGGCCCGGTGGTTCACCCCAAAGTTTGGAAGGTACTAGCGTAAAGCCATCCGTACCCTTTGAACTATTTTGACAAACAGGTTTATGTGTAAGACGTTGATTGCTTCCTCCATTATTTTTCCTCTCCTTTAGCTTATGCTGTATTATTTGTTCAAATCAGAATCTCCAGTGAAGAATTGATACTAGGGACTTCTCAGTCATTGCCCCTCCGTGTGCTCCTGTCCATCTCATGAAGGGAAGAGACTAAACAGAGAAAACGACCTCGCATACCCATTTTACCCACTAAAGGAAATGTGCATCTTAATGGCGGCGTTACTAAGTACATTTTGTTTTGCTTATGTCTATCATAGATAACACAGCCAACATTCTGACAAGGCGGAGGAGATTTAGTCGAACTATTCAGGATGTGTATTATCTCCCCATTATGATCTCTGATGGTGGAATCCCCTCTCTCAGCAGCAGCAGCACCCTCACCATCAGGGTTTGTGCATGCGAGAGAGATGGGCGTGTGCGGACCTGCCATGCGGAAGCCTTCCTCTCCTCGGCGGGCTTGAGTACAGGAGCCTTAGTCGCTATTCTTCTGTGTGTTGTCATTCTCCTGGGTAAGTCATTTGCCCTCTTAATGCCGACCAGTGGGGATGCTTCATATGCCCTCAAAGACCCATGGTGCACTGTGAAGGGGGCAGTGCAGTGGGTGGGTAGGGAGAGTCATTTTGGTGTACCACTCTTCCTGATGTGATTGAACTATTCAATTGTAATGATATGTAAATGATATGTCAATAAAACTGTTAAAAAATAAATTCTTGAAAAACAATTGAGACTGAATCGTGGATATATATATAGATCTGTATATATATATACATGTACACACACACACATATATACACATACACACAAAGTCACATATTAACTGAAAATTTTAATACTATAGTTAAGCTAGAAACAATTTGATGTAATTATCATGCAAACTGGCGGATAATGAAACTTGAAAGAAAGCTTTTAAGGAAACTTTAATATGTAAGAAGATTCAACATTAAATTCTCTGAATCTCAAGATCCCATATCTAAAATATATGTATATACAGACTTACAAATTAATTTAAAAAATCAAATGAGGGAATCAAAAAATGGACAAAAGACTGGAATGGATATTTCACCAAATAGGATATTCAAATGGATACGTATATATGAATATATAAAAGATGCTCAATATTTTTAATCATCAGAGATATAAAAATCAATACCAAATGCTATGCCAGTTTATGTCTATTAAGATGGCTAAGATAATAATAATAATAACAGTAACAAAAAGTAAAGAGAAAACAGAAGCGAAGTGTTGACAAGGATGCATAGAATTTAGAACCCTTATCTATTCTTCCTGAGAACATACAGTAGTTACTTTGTTGCGGAAAATAGTTTGGCTATCCTTTAGAAATTAAATATGGAACCAGGAATCCTAACTTTGGGTGTATATTCAAGGGACTGGTATGAGCACCAGATATCTACAATACCCTAAAAGTACAAACTATAGCAATGGTTAAATAGGTAAATACAATGTGCTGTATACAGCCAATTGAATACTACGTATTAAAATGGAATAAAATCCTGATACATGTTTTATCATGGATGCAATTGGAGACAATATCCTAAGTAAAATAAGCCAATCACAAAACAACAAATATTAGAACCTTGGGTGGTACTGTGGTAACACTGGCCTGCTCACCATAAAGTCAGCAATTTGAAACCATCAGTTGCTCTGAGAGAGAAAGGCAGGGTTTCCTACTCCCAAAAAGACTTACCGTCACATAAATTCACAGGGCAGCTCTACCCAGTCCTCTCTAGTCCCTATGAGTCGATATGCACTCACTGACTATGGGATGAGTTTGAGAAAGAGAGAATGAGAGAGCAGTCAGGTGAAAAGTGGAGCATTTCTGTTTATGGTGTGGAAAAACGGGCTTTCACTTGGGGTTAATGTTGTGCAATGTGACTTGAGCAGTTGTCTCACTGGGCTGAATAGCTAAAAAGGAGTTGTATTGGTAAAGATTGAGTTAGGTATAGTTTTAGAACACAGACCACAAACTATCAATAGCAGGCAACGGCTGATGCTATTACAGCCAGATACACTGTGTTTTTGTTTTGTTTTGTTTTGTTTTTTAAGTTTGGAAATTTAGGGGCATAGATACAAAGGGCAGCACAGTCATTTTGCCTAATGATCATTCTTGGTGTTTTTCTTTGTGTTTGAATGATATGTTGTGTTCTAGAACACATGCTGTTGGTCCTCCAGGGGACAACAGTGTATCACTGTTAGATTGGAGCAGCGGAGGAGGTGGGGCAAAACACGGAGGAGGAGCGTGCACGTCTAGATGAGTCAGCTACCCATTTGCCCTGGTGCCAGCAAGCTAGAGGGTCCGCTGCTGCCAATGCAGAGTGTTCTCGCAGACGTTCTGTCCAAGAGTCTTGAAGAAAGTAATGGGGAGAAATGTGCAACAGAACAGCAATCTCCGACAGGGTCCCGACTTTCTGCGGCACAGATAGATGAGCCCTCCTCTTTGATATTCTGAGATAATCACTTCAACAGGGACCTTACATTGAGGCCAGACTGAAGTCATCCTTCCACCCAATTATAGTTTAGCTTGATTGGTAATGAGCATTAACCTTGAACATTGTGAGCTACAGGTGAATAAAATCACAGTAGCAGCTCATGATGTGAAGGGGAAAATTTAGGGGCAATCAGTTTAAATGAATCATGATGGAGTAATTTAGAAAAAGATAGTGAGACAGGTTGAGGACTTTGAGGGGTGTGATTAATGTAATGAGATTGTACACCTTGGTGTTGAATTGGTACATTTTGCTGTGAATACTTTCACCAGAAATGTAAGAAAAAATTATATTAAAAAATTTTTTAAATTGCCTTTGAAAGATTTAAAAAAATGTATTTCCAAAGGCACAAGTAGCATTCTGCAAATAGTAATCTTAAAACCAATTTATAAAATGTCTTAGAGACATTTCTATTATGGTAGCAGTCCAAACTATTTAGTTAATTATCAATGCTAGTTGAACCTTAAAAACTACATATAACGTTTTTAGCCTTAGAGCTATTCCATTTTATGAAATAAAGACCAATTGAATTAAAACAAAGAGAGTTTTTTCTTTGAGATTTTCATTGTAATTCCTTTTATTAAATAACTTTACATTATCTGTATGATCGCCCAATTTTGATCACAGTCACATTTGAAGCTTGTATTTCCATAAACTCTTTGGAGTTGTATTTAACGCAAGGTAGAAAATCCAGATTTTTATAATGAGAAAATATATTTGGAAACCACCCATGCATCTAGTTCTTGCAAGTGAAATGACACATGTTTATGGTGTGTCCGTGTAGCTTCTCTCCCTTTGAGTAGTCTTCACTTTTGCTTCTTTCTTGCTACTCCACATATATGATAAAAGTATGCTCTGCTTAGAGTGGGGTATTCTTAATGTTAGTTACTTTGGTACTGGTATACTACACCCGGGAAAACCTCATGAACTCACTGCCATCAGTTCAAGCCTGACTCACAGTGAGCTTCTAGGACAGAATAGGTCTGCCCTGTGCGTTTCTGAGCCTCTACATCTTCACAGGAGCAAACACTCTCCTTTTGCTCCTTGGGGAGGTCAGTTTAAAACACTGACCTTGCGGTTAGCAGCCCAACGTGTACGTCACTACACCGCCAAGGCTGAAAATGGTGAAAAGGAGAATGATTACGTAGGCCAGAGAACAGTTTAGAGCTTCTGGAACATACTCAGGAGAGTAGGTTTTGTTCTGGGATTATGAAGATTTTACAAAAACAAGAATCTTAAAAATGTTATTGTGGAAAAAAATAGATGACTGTGAATGAAATGAAGAACTTCTCCCATGGTGGCAAGAGAACATGCAGGCAAATCAACTAGAAAACCAAACCAATTTCCATGCTCAGAAATGGCATACCTTAGGCATGCTGCAAGTGTAGCTGAAATAAATGAACAATGCCAAGAGCTATCAGTTGAAATAAAAACTGATCTTTTATAAATTAGACATGCAGGTAATTCAGAAGGAGGTCAAAGAAGAATTTTCATATATACATTGCTGAATGTAGATCCCTGTCTTCTGAGATGTATGGCCATCAGAAATATACTATTTTTAGTTCATTAGGGACAGTACAAACAGAAGATAGACCAGGCCTGAGTTGTGAGGAACTTCACTTTGATAGCACAGTAAAGAAGTCAGGGAAGAAAAAGGAAATGAAACAGAAGATCATAAATGATCATATGCCATAGTCCAGAGAGAAGTAAGTGTACAGAAGATAACAATGTGAAGACGTACATTGAGCCCATGAAATATCAAGTACGTTTAGCAAAACGGGGGCCTGGAACGCTACTAAAATCTGTTGAAGCACACAATAGACTTACAATGTAGATGCATGGTCGAGAAATAAACCAGGGAAATCCAGTGCGTTACATTAAATTAATTAATCAATTGATTAATTTATTGATCATCAGAAACTACTCTTGTCTTCTTTCAATATTAATAATTTTGCATTTACTTTAAAAATAAAAACAAAACAAACAATAAAACACTCTTCCAGGGTCTTAGCTAGAGGTAAATGTAATTAAACCAGAGAATTTAACATCGAATCGTCATGCTAAAAGATAGTTTAGTGGGAGAATGCATTTTATCCTTTGATTTTTGCTTTTGCTTCTTACTTAAAACTGTTTTCATATGCTAAAGCTTGAACATTTGAAAAGTAATTGGATTGCTTTATAGACAAGCAACATAGTACTGTGGGGGGGGATGTTTCCTTTCAATTAATTTTCTGGATATACTGTTCTCTCTGATTTAATTACAGAAAATTTCTAAATTTATGCTATCTCTTAAACTCAAATGAGCTTTGACAGTTCTGTCTAAAGGTCATAGATTTCTTGATCTTAGGCTTAACACAAATTAATTATAATATAATTTATACTTATAGAAAAGTCTAAAGGAATTTATTATATTCAGACATCATTTAAACAACAGACTCACCGATGTAGTTTTTTTTTTCATTAATTACAAAAACCAACTTGTGTTATTTGTAATTAAAACAATAACTGCTGAAATTTTAATGAACTTCCTGATAATTTTCTAGAAAGGAACAGCAGCAATCTCAGAAGCAATAAACCCTTACTGTAGAACTTGTAATTTTGAAATAAGCTTTGTGTTTTGGGACAATAATAGCCCAAAGCCACCGAAACCACAGTTTTCCAGTGTGACTTTAGGCAACCCATTGAGAGTTTCTCATCTTTAACCTCTGAAAGGACATTTTAGCTATAAGGTCTATAAAGCTGGCATATGATTCAATAATTTACAATGAGTTATCCCTGCTATGTTTATAATGATGATCTAAATATTGTGCTTGAAAAAGAAAGGCACTAACATGTCAATGAGAGGTTTCTATCGTGTGTATTGGGGTGTTTTCTACCAAGATTACAAAATGTCGTTTTTATTTTATATGAAAATGGAAGATACTTTGTAGTGTGTCTTCATTAATCAATCAGGAGACCCATAGATGCACTGGTCTAATAAACCAGAGGTTAGAGGTTCAAACTCACCCAGAAGCACCCTGGAAAACAAGTCAGGCCATCTGCTTTCAAAAGGAAACAGCCCGCTAAAGCCCTACAAAGTGCACGTCCTTTCTACACCCGCAGAAACACCAGGAGTTGGAAGTCAATGGATGGCCATGGATCTTGAATTCATTGTCACTCAGCCTTTGACACTGGTGTAGAAGACAGCTAGAGTTCTGTATCTATCCCAGATACTGACTTTTCTTTTTCACCCTACTCCTTGACTTGCCAATAAGACAAGAGGAGTTGGCAGAAGAGACTCTAATCATGCTTGGCATATGAAGCTTAAGCCAGGACATGAATCACCCTTCTGCAACTTATTTTTTCCCCACACACCCACGTACACAGGTGAGCAGGCTAAGAGACCTGGATCACTACCTCCTCTAGAGTGTAAATGTCTTGGTCATGTGGATCAGGGTGGATTGGATGTGAAGGCAGTGATACACTAGGAACAGAAGGTGGCAGGACTGAGATGGTAACTGTCAAGCTACTTGCGAATCAATCGCTTTTGGTTTGAAAAGTAAAGTCAATTCCGATGAGAGGTGCCATAACCAGGCATGGATAAGGCCACTTGCAAGGGGTAATGACAAGAAACTCATATCCTTCGGACATTTCAATTCCACTGATATTTCCATTTCACGCTCATATAGATAGATCATTATTATCTTTTCCTTAACGTGTACTTTTGTCTTGGTATTTTCCGGAAATACCTGAGTTTGGTGTTCAAGTAGTTAAAGATCTGTAGTAAAATTGTTGCTGCTGTTAGTTGCTGGTGAGTCGGTTCTGAGTCATAGTGAGTGCACAACAGTGCAAAACACCGCCTGCTCCTGAGACACACACACACACACACACACATATACACACACACACACCTGCCCACTGGTCCTTTGTCTATTGTGTCCACGGTGGCAGCCACTGTGTCAATTGATCTTGTTAAGAGGCTTCTTTCTTTTCCCTGCCTCTACCTTACCAAGTAATATACAGACAGCAATATTGGGTTTTCCATATCTTAATAACAATAAACTGCATATGTGTGTGTGTATATATATATATATAAATATATATTCCTAGGAAGGTTATTTCTCTGCATGAGGATTCTCTTCATATAATGCTTTGTTAGCACTTTCCCTGAGCCCATTATTTAGGTCATCCACACAAGAGTTATGTTTGGAAAGTCTACTGTGCACCAGCTGCTCCAGAAACACCGCTAACGGAAATGAAAAGCAGGGCGTCGAAGCACCATGTCAGCCAGGTTTTCCCATTCTCCCATTTGCCTTTTACTACAAGGACCATATGTTCAGGATTGCCTTGATGCCCTGATGTAATTACAAACAACATCACCCTTTGCCCTCAAAATTGTCTTCGAGTGTAAGGCTCATTATAGATTTACCCTGTCCTGAAGGAGATAACAATCTATCACTGGTTAAAGGCAAGTAGCCCTCCGTATCTGGGAGAGCCATAGGCATAAGCTTTTAAAAGTCAAACTTTACTGAGATGCATATTTTGAATCATTATATATCAGCCCTATCTCCTTAACTTTGGGACTAAGATGATGAAGAAATATCATCATCATTATACCTGTCCTTTAGCCTATGTATTCTAGTTGGCAAATATGGGACACAAAGGGGGATTGAAATAATGCACACATGTTGATAAGGGATATAAATGACATCCAGACTTCTAAACTAGTATTGATCACTTCCTCTTTTTTTGCTGTCCTTCTACTTGACCTAGCATACCGTCTTTCACAGGAACGGTCTCTTCTGACTTGTCCAAAGCATGTGAGAGGACGTGTTGTCAATCATGCCTGTGAGGAGCATATTGACTCTACTTCTAAATTAGATTTGTTTGCTTTCTCAGCAGTCCATGGCACTTTTAATATTATTCAACAACATCATAATTCAAATGCATAATTTAGCACCAAATTCAAAAGCTCTTGAAATGAGTCACCAACAATTTCAAATATGAATTTCTTGAAGGAGGCAAAAAAATGATTACTATCATACATTAGACAGTCTGGTGGAGTAGATGTTTTAATCTAGAAAATGCCTTCCATTGAATCACAAGGAGGAGTAAAAAAAAAAAATACGTGCACTATCCTTTGAGGTATTAAAGTGTCTGGTATGGAGACCTGACCACAATGCCAACAGTTATTCTGGAAACTTGCTGATAACAGGGGCTGGGAATTGCTGATGTCAACAGTCAAAACAATATCCTAATCACTATTTCTAACTTCATCTTCTCTCCTGTTTTTCCTCAGCAATTGTAGTGCTCTTTATCACCCTGCGGCGGAGTAAAAAGGAACCCCTGATCATTTCCGAGGGAGATGTGAGGGAGAATGTGGTCACCTATGACGACGAGGGAGGAGGAGAAGAAGACACCGAGGCCTTTGACATAACAGCCTTGAGGAATCCTTCCGCGGCCGAGGAGCTTAAGTACCGACGAGACATCAGGCCTGACGTGAAACTCACCCCCAGGCATCAGACCTTGTCCACTCTGGAAAGTATAGATGTTCAGGATTTTATTAAGCAAAGACTGGCGGAAGCAGACCTTGATCCCAGTGTCCCGCCTTATGACTCACTTCAGACCTATGCTTATGAGGGTCAGAGATCGGAAGCTGGGTCCATCAGCTCTCTGGATTCAGCCACGACACAATCGGACCAGGATTATCAGTACCTTGGAGACTGGGGGCCTGAGTTTAAGAAATTAGCAGAACTCTATGGAGAAATAGAATCTGAAAGAACAACTTAGGGGCTCAGTGCCTGAGATCCTGTAGAATTTGCTTCCTGCGCAAGTGATGCTACCACCTTGGCAATGTCAAGGAAGAAGTGGGGAGACAGTACTTGGAACTGAGCAGACTGTACACAGCAACTGTAGAAAGAAGTACCCTTTTCGTGATTGAACCTGGGTCATTGCACTGGAAGAAAGTCAAATTAAACACACACACACACCACACCGCACAGACGGGGAAGTCTATCGTTTCTTGTGTATAGTTTCAATTGCTCAATAAAGTCTGTGGTACTGTTGAATTAAGATACCTGAATTAAGCCAAACGATGACATTTGTTTCAATATTTTGTGATTATTTTTTAAAGCAGCACTAAAAAAAAAGGCTCATTATCTCCGATGTCTTATGATTTATAAGGGTGGTCAACCGCAAAATGAAACTTGTAAGGGAAAACACCTCTCTTTCCACTTTTCTGGGTGGACATGGAAGCCCCGCATTCTGTTACTATGACAGATCTCATTAGCCTTGTCTTGTGTTTAAATGACATGAGGTGTTTCCCATAGCCCAGGCCACTCTCTCATGGACCTGTATGTACAATTTCCCTTTGCCCTCCCCACTTCTTTTCTCCACACAAAATTGATGGAGCATGGGGATTTGCTGCCTGCACTGTAATGTATGCAATTTCTGTGCACCAGCCGTGCACCATTCTAAAATACAGAGACCACGGTCTCTGTCCCACCCCACCCCATTTAGTTCCACAGGAGAAATCTACTTTTATTGTTTGTTAAGGGATAGAGTGAATGGTTTAAGATTTACTCAGAGGTACTGCTCTGTCAGGGAAAGATTTAATTTTAGAAAAAGCTGCACACACCACCCTCCATACCAAGCACTGAGGAACTCATTTATTTCACTGGTTTGTGTACATTGGAATCAGCAGTTTGGATCATTATCCAGCAGTAACTGTGATCAATGTGCTGATTGGTTTATAATTAAGCCGAATTGACTTGTTGATATCACAGACCGTCTTCATAAATATGAACCTAACACAATAACGATGTAGTCTAAGAGACTACCTTCTAGTTTACATACACTTTATATACCTTTAAAGACTCTGGGTGGAGCAACAGTTAAGTGTTGAGCTACTAACTAATGTTGGCAGCTCAAATCCACCCAGAGGTGCCTTGGGAGAAAGGCCTGGCAACCTACTTCCAAAAGACCACAGCCATCGACTACCCTAGAGAGTGCGCTTCTACTGGAAAAGTAGGGTCACATGAGCCCAAACTGAACTGATGGCAACTCTCTTTCTTGTGGTTTGGTCTTGGCTTTCATCAGCTCATGGGAGGCTCACTGTTCCTTCCACAGGTTTAAGCTTTCAGGTCTTTATTTACTCATTGTCCTTTATATGTTTGTGAAAATGTATAGGACATGGAGGAGTTCTGTATCTGTATTCTTGAACACATCCCCGGATCACTCTGTGTTTCAGGATCCCAAACTGCAAAACGGAAATGACGTGCCGTCCCTGCCTACCTCACAGGGTTGTTGTGAGGACGAACACAGCCTCTGCAAACACACTTGCCGACTGCGGAGTGCTCTGTTCGAGAAAGCCTGGCAGGCACGCTCTAATTTTCTAATTTTATTGGCTTAAGATATATATTTAAATACATTTTGCATAAGATATTATATTATTCATAAAGCCTTCAACAGCAAAGCTACTGTTCAGTCTAAGCATGTAAAACAGAAGTCTACTTATTTTAATATTTTTCTAAATGAGCTAATTTTCTTAGAACTTCTTGTTTTATTGTTTCAAAATTGTTTTAGATAACCTTTGTGTTGTGACAGCTGTTGGACTTGAAATAATTCATAAAACTCTAGTCTTATTTCCTTAAAAAACCCCACAAGTATGTAAATCAGATACATTGCCGTATTAAAACGAAGGAAGTAAGAATAATTTAGAGGGAATTTCCCCCTTTGCTCTTAGTTGAACATAGTCTAAAACACCCCAAAGTCCAAGGCATTTTCTTTTGGAGTCTACCTGTTTGCAAAATTTCAAACATTGCATTGGTTCACAATTACCCTGTGCTAGAATCTCATAGTTTTGAGATATGGGAAGTAGGTGCATTTAATTTGAATAATTCTCAATTTGTGTTTTAAGCCTGAGGAATAAAATGTAATTTAAGTTGTTGCAACATTTTACCTTTCCAGATGCTGCTTTATCATTTTGCCTGTCATCGTGGCATGCGTTCTGGTGTAAGACTAAATCAAAAGAGACATTCAGGGACTTTGGGGAGTAACCGCTAGATACATATGCAATGATTATGCTAATGTCAGTTTACCTTCACCTTGAAAGGAAGGCATGCCTTTGGAGATTTCCAGTGGATTCTGGTTCTTTGACACTCCTCTTCAGACAGAATTGGAAAGTCTAGGATAGGGAAGTCCAATAGGCTTTGGGATCTAAATTTCTTATAAATTAACCAGAGTCAATTAAAAAAAAATGTTTACCTAGGAACATTGCAGATGAGAGTGTCTTAGATGAAAATGCATGTATGCTCTAACTCATTTATGTCAGAGTCAGGGTTGTCTGCCTGAGTCTACATTTTTTTTCTGATTTTGTAGGACAAAGCACTCCAAGTTCATCAAATTTCAATCACATACTATTACAATTACCACCTGTCATTAGGTCAAAATATAAAGGCAAAGTAAAGCTGTGAGAGTCTGCAAATATGTTTCCCTGCTGATTTAGTTTAATATTTTGTTAATGAAAGCACTCAAGTTCTGCTGAGTATTATTTTTATACAGACTTTGAAGTTGGGCAATGGCATTATGATTTTAAGTATTGATTGGGTTTCATAGTCTTTGCTACTTTGAATCAAGAAAGCAATGCTGAAATATAAATGCTTTGAAAATGATGTGGTCATTTAGCACTCAAATATTTTGATTTTAAAATCCCACTGTGTCTATGTTCAAAGGTGGTTCTCTTAGTGTCTAGTAAGCCAAGAGTTTGCACATCAATCATGAGAATTCATTGGATACAAATAATCAGCTATGGGATCAAATTCACTAATGTGTCTCAGCACATTTTGTAAGCCTTAGTTGACATTTATAGACATAAATAAAATATAACTTCAAAAGCTATTGACTTCATTCCAATAAAATAGTGTTCTACCTTCAGAGCCTGTTGAAAATGGTGGCTTTCAAATTGGAGGAAATATGAAGGGCTATGTCTATGCTTCCATCCGAGGTGTTTCTTAGCAGAATGTCTGAGTTCCAAACAGGCTTTCTGAAGACATTGAGAATTTGATAAATATTGCAAAAATTATTAAAGTCCTATGATCAAGATTCTTTCTAGGACCATCTCTACAACACAGATTTGAAGACGATATTGAAGAGGAAATCATAATCAATATTGTGCTCTATACAGAGCTAAGCATGACCTTCCTATATCTTAGTGCAAGAAGGAAAGATACTCTAAGTGAAATTGCATCCACTTAAACATACACGTACAAACCACATATGTATTATGTACTCATGTGTTAGATACACACTCTTTAGAAAACTTTTTGGAGAGTAAGATATTAAAAAAAAATGAATGAGTTGGGAATTGATCTGCTTCAAATATGTGAGATTCCTGAAATTCCAATTTTCCAGGACTATGTAGTTGGAAAAGAGCGCAATCTTGGTGGCTCTTTATTTTTTATGGAGCGTCATTTGGAATTTCAATGCTGGCAGTTAAGGAGTGACTTCATAGATGTGATTCCACAAACAATAAACATCACAGAAATCATAAATTTGAAACACAGGTTTGTTAGTCTAGGTACTTTAAAGAAACAAACCCACAGAAGCTCATGTATAAGAGAGAGTTTTATATAAAGATTAAGTGTACATCAAGAAAACACCACAACCTAGTGCTGCCCAAGCCCACAAGTCCAACATTAACCCATATGCCCGACTCAATCCACGAAGTCCTCCCTCATTTCACAAAACAGATGCAATGATGCCGACTGCAGGAGGAAAGCCGAGTCAGTGAACGTGTAAGCATCTCAGCACTGACAGGGGTCTCCACACGGCTGCTCCAGCACCCAGGGCTGCATCAGGGTAGGTCCATGCAGCATGAACCATGCGGCTTCTCCTTGGGGATGTCTTGCAGGAAGTTAGCCTTGCAAGCTGAAGCAGGGAACAGCTAAGGCAGAGGCACCCTGGTGTGACCATCACAAAGCAAGAGACCCAAGAACTAGAAAGGCCAGGCTTGCTGAGCCATTTGTCCCTCCGCCCTTCAATTAACCCCAGTTGTGTTTATCGGCCAGGTTGGCACAATATACTAACTAACTCAATAGGGAAGGAATTAACAACTACAATCTTCATTGATTCAGATACTTAGTGCACTTCAATTCCATTGGACATTTGAATAAAGACAACAAGAATATTTAGGCCACAATTTATTGTTGTTGTTAGATGCCGTCACACTGCTATGTGCTACAGAATTTCACACTGACTGCTCCTCACAACCAATGCTGTTTCTTGGCCCGTTGTTACAGCCACTGGGTCAGGGCACCTCATTTAGGGTCTTCCTATTATTTTTGCTGACAGCTAGTTGAAGTACACCAACTACTCTGTAGCTGAGAAATGAGTTGGTTAGTTCCCATAAACACTTTAACTCCTGGGAACCCAAAGGGTCTGTTCTACTCTGTTCAGTAGGGTAGGGTGAGTCAGAATCAACTCAGTTGTAGCTAGTTTGTTTGTTTGTTGTTTGTTTGTTTGTTTGTTTTTCCCATGGAGGCTATCTGTGAGTGAAGTTTTAGAGTCTCAGAAAACTTAAACATTAGAATTGACTCTGGACCAGGGTGGTTGGGCAGACTGACTGACTTTATTTAAAGGGTGATACTCTTTTCCAGGGATAACTCCCTCTCAATAATATGTCCAAAGTACATGAAATAAAGTTTCATCATCCTTGTTTCTAAAGTTTGTCATGTGTAATTATAGATTCACACCTACTAGTTTGATTTTTTTAACCCCTTACAGTTTACCTGAATATGCAGAGGAAACAATAGAAATTTAGTCATGATCAGTTAATTTCCTGAGCCATCCATCAGAGCTAGTTACCATAGCATGGTCATGAACAGAACACTCAAAGCCAACCCACTCCCCTAAAGTTGATTTTGGCTCATAGGAACCTTATGTAGGGTTTCAGTGACTGTAATTCTTTAAGGGATCAGCAAAGCCTCATTTCCCCCGCTCCACCCCCACTCCCCCCACTCCCGCCTCCGGCTGGAGCCACTGGGGATTGAATGGCTTACTTTGTGGTGAGAGGCCAAGTGCCGGAGGCACAATGTCACCAGGGCTCCCAATCAGCAGACTGGAACACACTAAATCAATACCTTTGGGGGAAGTCTTCAACTGCCTGTTAGGGTGCACTGCGCTTGATCTGCTCCTCAGCACCAATTGTAATATATTTCTCTTTTAATTCATAAGTAAAAGCGAGCAGAGAGAGTGGCATTTCTGTTTCGTGAGGACGCCCATGCAGTGGAGTCATCTAATGGCTTAATCGTATTGTCCAGCAACACAACTTTGGGATTAAGAAAATAGGACATAATATTTAGTGTCACCCTCCTAATTTCATCAAGGCAATGTCTGCTATGTCAAAAAACATCACATTTACTCTCAACTGTCTATTGAAATGTTCAGGATGACATTTCAAATGCCTTAGTTTAAAATAGATATATAAATAGATAGGTATACATGCTAGCATTGACCCTTAGACTAGAAAGACATCTGAGAGGATGCTCTTCAAGGCATTAAGAGGAGTCCTTTTAAAATTTTAATATCTGCATATAAAAAGCAGAGGAAAAGGCAATCAAAAGTTAAAAATAGATGATGATTTTAAAGAAGGTAACAGGAACCTATTAAAATGCTGTTGAATACGGCCAACATTGGAAGCACTCTTACAGAAAATAAAAACAATAGTATGAGACACAATTGGAGGGAACAGTTAAGTTAACTGTTCCCTCCAATTGTGTCTCATACTATTGT